TCTATAGGATCTAGAGCTTGAGAGTTATTACCCTTTGGTGGTGTACTTTCTTGATTTTTCAGATTTCTGTTATCTTTCCTTTGATGTTTAGTCATTGTGGCAGGGGGACATGTCCTCTGCTGTGAAGCTGGTGGAGAATGACCAGCAGCCAACTTGTCTAGTGGTTTAGCTGTATCTTTGAGGATATGGCACGTCTGTCTTCTCTCCCACTCACATCTTGGCCTCCAAGAGACCAAGAACTCTCTTAACTCAGCCTTCCCAGTGGCACCCGCTTGGAACATCCTGGGGAGGTTCTGGCCTTGGCTGGACTTGTGCACAGGCAGGCCGATCAATGGCCTGACCAGCCCCGAGCACTGCTGGAGGAGCACCGCTGGAGCACTAGCAGTAGCACTGCTGGAGGAGCATCGCTGGAGGAGCATCACTGGAGGACTAGGAGGAGCATCACTGGAGGAGCATCACTGGAGCACTAGGAGGAGCACTGCTGGAGGAGTACCGCTGGAGCACTAGCAGTAGCACCACTGGAGGAGCACCACTGGAGCACTAGGAGGAGCTTCACTGGAGGAGCATCACTGGAGCACTAGGAGGAGCTTCACTGGAGGAGCATCGCTGGAGGAGCATCGCTGGAGCACTAGCAGTAGCACTGCTGGGGGAGCATCACTGGAGAAGCATCACTGGAGGAGCATCACTGGAGGAGCATCACTGGAGGAGCATCACTGGAGCACTAAGTAGCATTGCTGGAGGAGCATTGCTGGAGGAGCATCACTGGAGGAGCATTGTTGGAGCACTAGGAGGAGCATTGCTGGAGGAGCATCGTTGGAGCACTAGGAGGAGCATTGCTGGAGGAGCATCGTTGGAGCACTAGGAGGAGCATCGCTGAAGGAGCATCGTTGGAGCACTAGGAGGAGCATCACTGGAGCACTAGGAGGAACATTGCTGGAGGAGCATCACTGGAGCACTAAGAGTAGCATTGCTGGAGGAGCACTGCTGGAGGAGCATCTCTGGAGCACTAGGAGGAGCATTGCTGGAGGAGCATTGCTGGAGCACTAAGAGGAGCATTGCTGGAGGAGCATCGCTGGAGGAGCATCCCTGGAGCACTACAAGGAGCATCGCTGGAGGAGCATTGCTGGAGCACTAAGAGGAGCATTGCTGGAGGAGCATCGCTGGAGCACTAGAAGGAGCACTGCTGGAGGAGCATCGCTGGAGCACTAGGAGGAGCACTGCTGGAGGAGCATCGCTGGAGCACTAGGAGGAGCATTGCTGGAGGAGCATCGCTGGAGCACTAGGAGGAGCACTGCTGGAGGAGCATCGCTGGACCACTAGAAGGAGCACTGCTGGAGGAGCATCGCTGGAGCACTAGGAGGAGCATTGCTGGAGGAGCATTGCTGGAGCACTAAGAGGAGCATTGCTGGAGGAGCATCGCTGGAGCACTAGAAGGAGCACTGCTGGAGGAGCATCGCTGGAGCACTAGGAGGAGCCTTGTTGCAACACTGGGACGAGCTCAGCTGCCCATCAGCTCCCAGCCTGGCCTCGTGGTGCCCTGGGGCTGTAACACTGGCTCTGACAATTCTCTCAACGTCCACCATGGCCCACAATGACCCCACACACCACACACCACACACACGCACTAGCCTGATTGCCCATTGCTCTCCCTGACTTGGAAATCCTGTAGGTAATAAATACGTAACCAGTATTTTCATGGCCAGTGGGGTGCTGCAGGCACTAATATGCTGTACTGACATCCAGTTCTTTTCAGACACGTTGTATTAGTTCATTTCTGTGTCACATGGTGAATGGCCGAGCAAGAGAGAGCTAACCTGCTCACTCACTGTCCTTATAAAGCCCTCAGAACCATGCCCATGACCACCATTAAACCATCCATGGGTCAATCCATTCATGAGGGCACAGTCCTCACAATCTAATCACCTTTAAATTACCATAAAAGTACTTCCCACCCTCTTAATGCTGTTGCAGTGGGGAACAAATTTCTAACAATGGACTTTGGGGGACACACTCAACCCATAACACACATGCTGATCCATTTCTTTTTATCTAATGGGCTGTAAGCACCAGTGTGCTGTATTGTGGCTAGTTCTTTTCAGACACAGGCTCATGAACTGTTTCTTTCTAACCTGTTTTCTTGTTGAAACAGTAAGCTTATATGCTCCTTCATGTGCCTCTGAGAGAGTCGCATCTTTATATCCACAGCCATTCCCCCTGAAGGGGTAGCGCTGGGCAGGGGTGAGGGGTCCAGGGGTATGTTTACATGGGGCATACATGCCTGGACAGAGGTTTCATGTGTACCACAGATGGTGACATTTGGACAGGGACCCACAGGGCCAGTTGTGTTTGCCTAGGAGGAAACTCCAGTTCCTGTAGGGAGAACTAGAACTATATGGGCTGGGAGCAGAGTCTGGCCTGACCGAAGAGTAAGGATTTAGCTTTTTCCCCGGCATCCTGATGCCCTCCTTCAGTGCTGCGGGGGTTGTCTGTTCCCGAGCCAGGTACAGGTACAGCAGAGAGGACCAGCAGTGCGTGTGCACTTACAGCTTTAGCTGCCCTCTGCCAACATGTCAGGAGCACCATGTGCCACAGATGGGAGATCCAACAGGAAAACGGGAAGGGAGCACATTTTCTTCCACTGAGCTCTGAGCACAGCCACAGCCACCTTGTCTAGATGAGCCATGTCTGGAGCCACCCCTTGGCCCTCCAGTCAGCTCAGAGCAAGAGTGATGGTTAGACAGGGCTGTGGCCCACTGATTAGATACAACCACTAAACAAAAACTTCAGTAGCCAAAACCTGTCCCTGTGCAGAAATGTAACCTTCACAGATTGTGTTAAATCTGGCATGCTCTGTGGCCCTGGGTAGGGGGCAGGGCACCACAGCGAACATGCAGCGGCACTTCCGCAGCTGTCACCCCAGGTGAGAAGCACAGGAAAGGCAGTGGTTTACAGCGAGGGACCACCCATCTCTGGACAGTTGGCCATGGCCGGGACCCCCCACGGTAAGACTGGGGTGGTGATCCTTCCATGTGCAAGGTAGGAAGCTGCTAAGGTGACACTCATACCTGCTCTGGGGTCTGTCTGGTAAGTGTCACGACCTCTTGTTAGAAAACAAGCAAACGCACACTCTCTTCAGTGTGTGCTGACATGCAGTACCTGCTGTCTTCATGTGAGCCCAGAGTGTAACTCCTGCCCCTCACGAGTTTCCTTTCTTCACACGACATGCCAGGTGTAGTAATGGGATGCTGCGATGGGCCAGCCCAGGCCTGCCCCTGGGAGACAGGGCACAGGCGCCACAGGACCCTTGCTCGGGCTCACACTGAGCCCAGGACACAGAAAAGGCCCAAGCACTGATTGGCCCTGCCCGCGAGTTGCCGAAAGTCTGGATGAGGACACAGAACACACATCGGGTGACCAGAGGACAGGGGTGCACAGCGTGGGGTAGCCCGTGGTCAGAGCAGCTGCAAGTGAGGCACATGGATCCTTGAGCCGGGCTTTCCTGCTCTTCAGGAGATGGGGTTGGGGGTGGGCAGGCCAGGCAGGGTGGAGTGGCCTCACCCTCTTGGCCATCAGTCTGTGAAGGCTGATGATGGTGTTTTGTAAAATAATCCCCATTCGTGTTTTTGTAAAACAGAAGTGGCTGCAGGGAGACCACCACCTCCAGCTCCTCTCAGTGCCCCCAGCAGCTTCCGTCTGCAGAGCGCTTTCCCTGGCCATTTGGGCCCCGGCTCCACCACCTCCTGCGCACTCGTTGCCCGCCTGGGGGCCCCGCTCCGCTCTCTCCACAGGATCTCTGCTCCCTCCACCTGGTGCCTTCCCTCAACTCCACAGGTGCAGACCCTACTCGTCTTTCAAGGTTTGGCTGAACGTCATGTCCTCTATTCCAGCTGTCCCTATCTTCTCTCCCCTCCTGTCCTGGCTCCGAGAAGTGCCCACAGTCATTTGTATGCATGCTCTACGTTGTTTTCTCTGCTTACCAGTAAAATACTGACTGGGCACCTGCTGTGTACCAGGCACTATCCCCTGTACTTTGGACAAATCAGTGACCACATTGGATACTTCCACTCTCATGGAGCATGCATCCAGCCAGGGAAAGCAGATTATACGTAGTAGATGTAACACATACGTAAACTATATAAAATGCCAGAGGGTGGAAACTGTTGCGGGGGAGAAAAGGAGAGCAAGAGAATGGGGTTGGGAGTGCTGAGGTGAGGGAGTGGACTTAGGTTGCAACTTTAAACTGGGCTGTCTTTAGGGCCGGCCCGGTGGCGCACTGCTACAGTGTGCCGCTTGGGAGCGCGGCGGCGCTCCTGCCTAGGGTTCGGATCCCACATACAGACCGGCCGCTCACTGGCTGAGCGAGGTGCGGGCGCAACGCCGAGGGTTGCGATCCCGTTGCCGGTCCTGGTCCGGTACGGGCACGACACTGAGGGTTGCGATCCGTTGCCGGTCACGAAAAAAGACAAAAAAAGGAAAAAAATAAATAAATAAAAAAATAAACTGGGCTGTCTTTAAATAGGAGAGGAGGGTGACATCTGTGCAAAGACTTGTGCAAAGGCCCTGAGGTGCAAGCATGTCTGACCTGTTCAAGGAGTGACGAGGCCAGTGTTGTGGGAGAGTGAGAAAGGGGGAGAGCAGTAGGGCATGAAGGAGGAGAAGTAAGGGGACAGTCACATAGGGCCTTGCCAGTCATTTTAAGTCCCGAGGGAGACGAGAAGCCATCAAAGGATTTTGAGCAGAAGAGTGATCTGATACGATTTGCTTTTTCAAAGAAGCACCGTGGATGCTGTGTTCAGAACAGGCTGAAGGAGGGATGCGGAGGCAGGAGCCCCATCACGAAGAGGCTTCTCAGGAATCCAGGTGTCCTGGGCCAGCGTCGGGGGATGGCAGGTGGTCAGATTCTGCCTGCATATTGAATTTTATTTGTGATGTATGGGAGAAGGCGAGGAATTGAGAATGACTGCAGAGATTTTGGCCTGAACGACTGGAAGGGTGGAGTTGCTGGACCAGAGCTGGGGGAGGCCATGAGCGGGCCGCTGGCGGGGGAAGCTTGTGAACTGGTCCTCACGGGGCTGGATGCTACCCAGGGAAGGTTTGCTGCATGGCTGGCTCTGCCTCCTTAGGGACTCAGGCATGATAACGGACAGATGCATCGCATTTCAGGGGCTGTTATGGCTGCAGAGAATTCCTGCAGTGGGCAGACATCAGCTAATTTCAGGATGGTCATTTAGGTCAGATCTTTGTGTCTGGCTGTGTCTTGGATGGGGATGTTTGCTTCTGTGACACCATCTGGAGGTCCTGCGATGGATGTCCAGGGATTTGATCTGGGGCGACCAACCACAACACTTGATATAGGCACAGACTGTTTCGTTGGGAAAGTCTTTCCCTAACCCTTCCTCTTCCCGTCATTATCACACCTAATGAAGATGATGAACTGGTGATAATTGGTTGGCATCAGTGTGAGTGCTGTTAAAAATTAAATGTTCCTTTTGGGTTCTGAGGAGATGAGTGGGGTGGGGAGGAGAGGCAGGGTGTGTCTGGCTTTGCATATGACCCCAGACTTCTTGGTCAGAATTCTGCTTCGTAGAGAGATTTGGCTGAAGCACACCCAGGCTAAGACCAGGCTACTAGGCTGAAATATTCCCAGTGGGGTTGTACCAGTGATGAGAATTTACTGACAGAGAGCCTTCGTATGTTGAAGTCGCTGCAGGAGGCAACTCTTTACTCCACAGGCACCCACAGAACATCTGCTCAGGGCCAGCCCCCGTGTCAGGAGGCCCGGCCCCCTGCTCACCTTCAACACGTAGTCTCCAGGAAGAGGCAGGTGCGCACACAGGGGCAGGCGCAGTTGGGTCCTGGAAGAGAAAGAGGTCAGTGCCCCTGGACTGGCGGGGCCCCTAGAGGAGATGGAGGTTGAGTGTGGAGAAGGTGTGGACTGGTTCTGGCGGGCGGAATGGGAAGGTGTTCCAGGCAGAAGGGAGCAGGGTGGCAGGAGGGGAACCCGTGCAGGCAGGGCCCAGTTGTGAGGGGCCCGTCGGCCTTGGCAAGGAGTTTGGACTTCGTCCAATAAGCACCAGGTAGATGTTAAAGATTTTTGCGAAGATTGACATAAATTAATGACTGGGTCCCTAGAGTGTTGTAAAAGAGGGGTTGGAGAGGTGGGATTCTGGAGTCTTTGAGACTAAAGGTTTTTTACAGAAGTCCAGGCAAGGGCCGGCCTGGTGGCGCACTGCTACAGTGCGCCGCTTGGGAAGCGCGGCGGTGCTCCCGCTGAGGGTTCGGATCCCACATACAGACCGGCCGCTCACTGGCTGAGCGAGGAGCGGGGGCAACACCGAGGGTTGCGATCCCGTTGCTGGTCTCGGTCCCGTACGGGCGCAACACTGAGGGTTGCGATCCGTTGCCGGTCACGAAAAAAAAAGACAAAAAAAAAAAAAAAAAGAAGTCCAGGCAAGAAGTGAAGATGACCCAGACTAGGGCTCGTGGACTGCTAGTGGAGGGCGTTGGTGCCTTTCCCCACCTGGTGACTTATTTTTACAGCTACGCTGTGATGATCATGATGATGTTTATCGACAGCTAGGTGCTTTCTTCACTTCCTACCCCCTGTGAGGTAGGAACTGTTATACCTTCGTCCTGTATGGGAGGGAAACTCAGGCACAGCTGCCAAAATCTCACATAATCAGGTCTAGGTCTGGGCATTTGGCTTCATGATCCATGCCCTTAACTGCACCGACATTACTGCCTCTAGGAGAGGTGAGACCGTCCCCTTGTATGGATGAAGGGAGAGAGGGGGAAGGAGGGTCTTTGGCCAGGCTGGCAAGGGGAGGGTCTAGGAAGCCTCCTAGTGTGGGATTCCCAGGACTGGGGAAATCTGAGATGCTGCCAAGGTCCGAGTGTCCTAGGAGGGGTAGCATGTGGGGCCGAGGTTGCAGAAAGGCAAGGGAGTGACAGGCGTGTGTGCGGGCACTCCTGGAGGAAAGACCTTGGTGGGGGAACAGGCAGCTCCTGTGCTGTGACTGGGGAAATCTGAGATGCTGCCAAGGTCCGAGTGTCCTAGGAGGGGTAGCATGTGGGGCTGAGGTTGCAGAAAGGCAAGGGAGTGACAGGCGTGTGTGCGGGCACTCCTGGAGGAAAGACCTTGGTGGGGGAACAGGCAGCTCCTGTGCTGTGGGGCCACGGTCTGCACCTTTTCCTAACCTGAAAGAGGAGCGGTAGGTTTGTGGGGAGAGTTAGACACAGTCGCGGAAGCCTGGCTTGCGCGGTTAATGCTAACCACCTTCTCCTTCTCACCTGTGTCCCAGGGTGACGCTCTCAGGATGCCAAAGTGGAATTTATGTTGTCAACAACCACAAAAGCGGAGGACAGTGAGGAGGACTGATGGTCTCTACAAGGTCACATTTCCTAACTCCTGATGAAGCCAAACTAGTTAAGACCTTCTGGGACTGCTCTGTTAGGGGACCTTTCTTGGCCAGATTTTGTATATCTGGATCTCCTGATGGCAGGGTGGTGGCAGTCTCTGTGTTGTGGTCTTCCTTTACCATTAGAGGCTGGAGACTGAGGAAACAACCTCTGCAGGACAAAACATTCTGTCTAGAAGGGCCACGGGGACTTCTCCACAAAGTGAGGGAGTTGGCCCATCCAGGGTCTTGGCACCACACTGGGGTCCGCCACTCCCCTAAGCAAAGGCAGGGGCGGACGTCCTGGGCTAAGTCAGGGAGCCCCTGCACTGAGCTGGGCCATCAGGCAGGGCGGGTGTTGATGTCCAGTTGTCCACCCAGCGACAGCGAAGGGCCACAGCAACAGCTTTCAGTGGTTCATGTGCATCGTGGATGGTGTTTCAAAATAGCTTTATTTCTGAGAGCCATTAAATCCTGGTAAGTGGGCATTTTTATAGATGGAAAACAAATAAGGAGCGACATTAACATTATCTTTTCTGTGCACATGTGCTGATGCATCCCAGGAAGGCTGATCTGGGGCTTGGTTGCCAGTCAGGGGCGCTGGGTTTCTCAGATAGGCGAGGATGACACATCTCTCTGAGCCTTGGCTGCCCCTTTGTTCTTGGAGGATTCTTCATCTACATCTCTTTGTCACCTTGCATGGAGGTTCTTTTTTAACCTCTTGGGGCTTCAGAGACTGAGGCTTATTGGTACTGACAAGCCCTGATTATTTAAAATCCTGGAGGCCAGGATTTCTGCTGTGCAGGTCCACAGAGAGTTGGCTGGCCAGCCCCTGCTGATTGCTGTAGTGGTTTGTGCTTTGTTAAAAGCTGCAGGAAACAGCAAGCTCTCCTTTAAATTCTAAAACAGCTAACAAATACTGAAAACAAGCAAAATCCCTTTTGTTCCTCCTCACCCCCACCCCAGTGGCATCACCCCTCTCCCCAAATTCAATTCTACTTCTCTGACAATTGTCTGATAATTTTACTGATGTCTGCTGCAGACCTCCCCTGAAGGGGTGTGGAGAGAGGGACTGCTGGAGGGACTGCTGCCCTTAGCACTCCCCCCACCCCTCCAGGACCACCCCTCACCCGGCTCACCAGGCAGAGGGGACAGGTGCTGCCCCCAGCGTGCCGCTTCGAGAGCACACTGGAGGTATGGAGGTGTTTGCAGCCTGTGTACTCCCCTTCTCCACGGTGGGGGGCCTGGGCACCAGGAGACATGGAGGGAGGGAGCCGCTGTTACCTAGCAACAGCTGGGTACTGTGACATGACTTGTGTCTGAAGGAAAGATGTTTCCACTGGCACTTGGAGCCTCCCTGTGCTCAAGCTGGCGAGCTCTGGACAGTGCCTGTGGGGCACACCTGCAGAGTTGCTTGCCATGGGGTGCCTTTCCTGCCCCACTCTGGCTCCCTGCTGAGTGTGTGTGCGCGTGGTGATGTGCACGCAGGAGCACGTGGGGCTGTGGGAGTGCAGAGGCTGCACAGGCAGCTTCTCAACCAGTGCCATTTGGAAGGTCTTGGGAGTTGCCCTCTGCTGCCATGTAGAAGCCGCTCCCAGGGGCTAACAGCTGCTGCAGCCCCAGCAACTCCCAGCACTTGCCAAAGTTGGCCCTGATTTCAAATACCGAAATCATGTCACATGTTGTCCCCTGAAAGTCCAGAATTTGAGATGAATACCTTTCACATGAGGCTTTCTTTTGAGCTGAAGACCAGTATATTTAGGAGTGGTAACTCATGAGTCCTTATCATCATTTTAGACTCATCGGGAAGTCGTTTATCAGATTTTTTCCTGAGAGCACATTTTTATGGGGGAGGAAAGAGCATGTGGGATCTGAGCTGCACTCTGGAGTGGCAGGCTGCCACTGCAGAGGAAGAAAAGTACCAGAAGAGACCAGGCGGGTGTCAGGGATGGATGCGTCCACAGCTCAGCATTGTCCAGGGCTGTTGGGGGTCTTATTCACTCCTGCAGTGGGTCTGTTCATTGCCCTGTGTCCTGCTCAGGAATCTTTTTTTCCCTCTTTTCCTCCACCACCCCCTTGCTTCCTTCCTCCCCAACCTTCTCTGCAGCTCAGTGGTGGTCTTAGGAATTCCCTGTGTATGGCGACTTAGTGCTTTTGATATTACTGGATAAAACGTGGGAGAAATTTAGGGGTCTTTCCTCTGGTATTCCCAGTTCCCCTTCACTGTGTCCATTTTCTTCCCAGCCCTTTGTACTCGAGAGTGGGGAGAGACCGGTGGGGGAGAGGGTCTGGTGCGGAAAAGAGAGTGAAAGCATGTTGGTTCTGCAAAATGGGAAGGGAACGGTGGGACGAAAGGTGGGAAGGGATCTTCAGAATCTGTTTGTACCGCGCAGAAGGGGTAGGAGCTGCAAGAAATTCCTTCTCCTTTTTTTTCCCTTTAATTTTTTTATTGAATTAATTTTATCACACAAGCAAACTTCACTTGTCCATAGAGGCTGCTAAAAATGTGCCATCGAAATAATAGCTTGTGTATTACATACTGCCCTCAATGGAGGGATAGTAATTTTCTGAAATCCGTGTACAGGAAGTGGGGCTGCTGTTAATACCGTCTCTATAACACTCTTGATTAGTGGATTATATTCCTCCTGTCCTCATGTGCCTGGACAAACAACTTCTAAATCCTTTGAGACTTGAGAACGTTAGGAAGAGTGTTTTATGGAGTGCCAAATCACACCAAAGAATGCTCTTCAAAATATTTGGATCAGGTCCAAAAATTCCTAGTGTATACTTTCAGTTACCAGTAAAATTTCAGAGAGATACTTTTTAAAATACAACTTTTAAGAAGACATTTACAGATAGCAGAGAAATGTTGTGACTGTTTGCGCATTAACCAAGGTAGGCAGCAGAACAGTTGTAGTTGTGCTGAGCATGTCACTGTGTGACCTTGCCCAGGTCCTGGTTAGTGCAACCTTCATCTGGTGCAGCAGGTCTTCTGACAGTGACTTCAGGAGGCTTTCTCCTAATGCCATGTGCTGGCTTAGACCTTGGAGAATTTACTTAACTACTTCAAGGAGAAATTCTTTTTTGTCCTCTTTACCTGCCGTAATAGCACCCTTAAGCACATGTTGTAGCAACTCTTATGAAACAAATTCTTGCCTGGCATCTCTGTGGAGCGGTAAGGTACAAGCTCCATCTTCACCTGAATGAACGGACACTGGACACTTGCTCTGAGTAGCCCTTTTCCCTTGGGGATGGAGACTGTTCCAAGTGAACTGTCTCATTTATCAACCGACCTCCTCGTAAGGTCAAAAGAGAGGTCACAGAGCTTGCTTTACAAGTAGGGGAGCTGGTGAAGAGGGAAGTGTGACTTAAGTGCTCCCTGACAGCTACACAGATGGCCCAGGAAACGGCAGCCCCTCCTCGGAGAGGTGGCTCTTGAGATGGTGGCGGCTCCCAGC